CTGTCCTAGAACCTCCTGCACAGCGTCCTATGGAGCACTCTTCAGCGTCCCGTAGAGATTCTCTGTGATGGTGGACCTTGCCTGCTCCCGGAGGCAGCTTCTTAGCCCTTGGACAGTTCTGACCAATTACACACAGAAGTCAGGTGGCTTCCGGAACTGAGTGTGCTGATGGCCAAGGGAGCCAAAGGCCTATAACCTGACCCCTCACCCTCATCCCTGAGGCCCAGCTGCGAGCCGCCACTAACAGTGGCCAACAGGATGCTATTTCCAGAATAGCCTGCCTTTTCACTTTCTGAGAAATTTCAAGAACATTGAAGTTTGGAGTGTGTACTGTCTTCTGTTGGGCCGATGGGGGAAAGACAACCACTCCTTCCCATCCTGCTCCCAGGTCAGCCACAGGGGGCCTGCTAAGTTAAAACCCCTGAATTGCCTCCGGATGTTGTCCTCTCCTCTCCCCTGCTCTCTGGCTTTCCTGGCAGGACTGATCATACCAACTATACAAGGTAAATTATTCCGAAAGATTCCAGGTAAGGCCAACCCTAAGCCTCCTCCTTGAATTCACTCGGTATTTCTTCTGTTGCAAATTAAACTTCTTTCTTCTTGCTTGGTTCTCAGTGGAGCGGAAAACAGCATGCCATTCTTTTCTATACTAAAGAATAAGCATACTTGAGAAGCACTTATTCAATTCCTCTCAGCCTATTTTTCTCTAAACTAAACAGTGCCAGATTCTTTAACCTATCAATAAGCCCTATTTATTATCTGGATTTACATAGTGTCTTTTGCCCCAGAACTCAAATTGCTTTCAAATATAATTGAGCCTGATCTCCCTGGTGCTTGAGCCATTAAGAAACCATTAGTGTATTCCTGCTGCAGGCAACTAAATGGCCCCCTAGTGGCCTGAAGGTGCATATGCTTCCTTAAGTGCCTCTCCCCCACTAAGGGTAGGAGAGTGAGAGAAATCAGCATCTAGGCAGGTTGGGACAGAAAGGGCCAGAAGGTCATCTTTTGTAAATACTCCAATGGACCCTAGAAGGACATCCCTATGGAGCGTCAACTAAAAGACCCTCCACGATCGCGTATCTTGTCTGCTCCCGAAGGCAGCCTTGGAAAGTTCCGACCAATGATAACAGCAGCAACATCCACGCCCTTATGGGCTAGGGACCATACTCAGCACCTAGGTTCCTGGTGTCACAACAACCGATCAGGTAGGCACTCTGGAAGGGTTGGTGACCCATCTTGACTTGAATGGGCATATATTCTTGCTAACGGTCTCAACCAGCACCACTCTCCAAGGGCTGAAAGAGTGTGTGATTCACTGACTGACCTAGGATCTCACATAATGTTGCATCAGATCAAGAGTCCCACTTTCTAGCAAAAGAGTGGTCATAGAATCGTCTGGGCACATCACATACTTTGCTGCCCACTGGTGAATAGAGTTGATAGAGTAAAAGAACTGCCTTTCAAAGGTGCAGCTGAAGCACCATTTTAGTACTGTGTGCTCCGGTGTGAAGTATGCACCCTATCCAATAACTATAATCTGGGCTATGGCTCAACAGCTAAAATACAGAGGTCTAGGGAACAAGGGGTAGAAGGAGGAATAACCTCACCATCACTCCCAGTGACCCTTGGGGTAGGGGTGGGTTTTGTGCTTCCTATTCCTATAGTTCCAGGTGGTTTAGAGAATCTGGGTCCCAGAGGCGGAACACTTCCAGCAGGAGACACAGCAAGGATCCCATCGATGTTCCAGGTGGCTGCTTTTCATCCTTCAGGTTTTCATCTTAGTTCAGGTTTCTCATGAGACATCATAAGGAAGATTTGCTTCCAGAAATACAAATACAAACATTAGAAATACAAATTCCTCACAGGGGCTTGTTCCCTGTGGCTTTGCCCAGGTCCTGATAAAAAGATGGACAGGACAGGAATAAGGACAGAAGCAAGCCATCTTCCCAAGGGCCTTCCTTACGTGCAATGCACCAGGCCCGCCTGGAGAAGGACATCGTCTAACTTATTTTCCTCACACTTAGGAAAATGGGTTCATTTCACAGACGGGTAAGCAGAGGCAGGGAAGATGCGGACTGTGTCCAAGAATACCCTGCTGTGGCAGGGGCCAATCCTTTCCTGCCATCTACAGCTCCACATCTCCCAGTTTAATCTCCTTGTACCAAGAGACCACCAGCAGGCAGAGAAAGGAGTCACTTCCTGGCAGGGATATGTGACCCTGGTCCTTTAAAAAGGTGGGCTGCTGCTACACAGTAGGGTTAGGAAAGAACATGTTTGGCAC